TGTCTTTATGCATGCTTGCTGAACTCGTTTCGTCAGTTCTTCGGGTCAAGGAGTAGATGGCCCTTAGGCCCGTGCAGGCCTCCATTCTTGGGGGTACTTTGGCCTCTTTGGTCTTTCGAGCGGCCGAGGAGCTTCTTCCAGGTTCGCTGGAGCCCTCTCCGAGTCTCCCTTTCACTTGCCCCGTTGTGGACTTGCCTGAGGGGCTGCATCTGCCTTCTTTGCTTCTTGGGGTCCTAGTGGGTTTGGCCGCCGGCCCGGTTATAGACTTGGTCTATCTTCTTAGGGTGTGGTGGTCTGCTTTCGTCAGGGAGCGACTGGTTGCTCTCAGGCCGCGTGCCGGGCCGCTTTACCGGATCCTCTGATTGCATGGGATCTTCTGATCCTGTTCTGCAACTTCTTGTCACAACTGTTCAGGACTTGACTGCCGAGGTCAGGAGGCTCGGCTCTGAGGTGCGTGCGCTACAGGTCCTTGTTGCAGACCGCTTGGGCCCCTCTTCGCTGCCTGCTGCAAGCACTGTACCTCCAGGATCCCCGTCACACGCCTGGAACCCTGTAGTTCGAACTGCTGATCCGCCCGTGTCCCCAGGCCCAGTTAGGGGATCTTCGAGCCTGCCCTCCGCTGCAGGTACTTACGTTGATCCTGGTCCAGCGGGTCGGGGCATCACAGACGAGGAGCGCAGGGACATAGCCAAAAGGGTTGGGGCTTGGTTTGTGCGTTGTCTCGCGGGGCAGCACCGTGGGCCCAGCGGCAGGGAGGAAAACCCTCTTGCAAATCGTGTGTACCTAGTGATCAGGGATCATAGTGGTAAGACCTACGATCCGCCTTTGCTGGCACGAAACTTTGAGAGCATCAAGCGGCTTGTCAAGCCCGCTGGGTTCGTTGCCGAAGAAGCTGTTTTTGCCGGCTTCCCTTCTCAGTGGGAGGCCTCGCTTGCTGCATCCAGTGCCGGGCTGCAGCCGCCCGTAGAGAGGCATGTCTGAGCCCGAAGGGAGCTCCGAGGGGGAAGCCGAAGGTCTGGAAGCTCGGCCTAGGGAGCTTCGTTTTGCTTATGTGGGTGGTGAAGTGAATTATGACTATGAGCTTGGTGCCTTAGCTGTTGGAGACGGCGATTCTCGGCGCACCATTTCAGTTATTTTGGTGGTCCCGTTTGAAGGCAGGACCTTAGCAGTTTTCCCTCAGAAAGCTTGGGACAAGAAAGTCAAACAGCGGAAGTTGCCTGCTGGGCCTTTCTCTCGCCCTATGCTTGTTGAAGTTGCTTGTGCATCTGCGACCGACCGTTCAGTCGTGGGAACCGAGCCGCCTGTGAAAGTTTGGATAGGGCTTCTAGCTGCGAGCCTGGCCGACCAGGTTACCTTTGAATCCGGCGAGCTGCCAGACATTTCTTTTGCCACCTCGACTCGTGCAGGGCTTCCATTTGCAGAAGCGTTGGTGGAGCTTGGGGAGGCCCATTTTGGTTTTCAGAGTGCTCTGAGTGCTCCGGTGGACGGGGCGGGGCATGAGCAAAGATTCAGGGCCCTTGAGGCCAGCATTGCCCGCATCGCGCAGAGTGTTGAGAGGCTTGCTGGTGCTTCTGATCGTCCCGGTGCCGCGGGGCCTTTCTCCGAGAAAGCGGGGGCTAAGAACAAAGCCGCTGCAAAGAAGCCGCGTGCGCCTCTCACCGAAGGCTCCGTGCCGGGGACTCCGAGGCCGCCTGGTCGGGCAAAGGAGATCGCGTCGTTGGACCCTGCTGTTACCAAGGCAGCGTTGGGGGTCGGTGTGTCGCCCGCCGAGCTCGCTGAGATCGGCCGCCACATGAGAGGGCGGCGAGGGGGGCTTGACGATTTCCCTGGAGCCGACGACCCGGTCCCCGACGACGAGCTGGGCAGCGTGCTAGCCCAAAGCGGGCTTGAGGACGAAGGGCACGAGCCCGAACAGGGTGCGCCTGCGGTCGAGCGAGCCGTGCTGGCCCTCACTGGGATCATGAAGCAGCTGGTCGAAAAGAAAAAGCAGAGCGATCGGGCCGGCACGTTGGATGCTTATCTTGATCACGCTGAAGGCGGAACCGGCTCGGACTCATTCAGCTTCGGAGGTCCCTCAGGGTCTCGATCGAAGGCCGCCGCCTACCGTCTTTTGCGAGAGAGTCTCGAGAAATCGCCCGAGCTTGTTTACCAGGAAATCGAGCGACACATGGATGAGGACTTGCTGTCCCGACGTGCGGTCGGAGCTCTGTCTTCTGCCCAAAGCTCAGCTCGAGCATGGATCGAATTCCGGTCCAGAGTCGGGTATTTTCCGACCACGATCAGGACCCTATGGTGCCTAGGGGGCATCTTAGACTGTTTGAGGGACGGGCGCACCGGAGAAGCCCGTGCTCGTACTTGTCTCGCCATAGCGGCCTTGGACCAACAGTGCATCGACTCGGGGCAGTGGACGTTGGCACAGGAAATCTTACTCGAAGCGCCACCCCCCTTAGGATCATTCCAGGGACGCAGAGTGCTGCATGATCCGCTGGAGAGCTTTCACACGAGATTGCTGAGCAGCCGCTGGTCCGAGTTACTTCTGCATCGGGTGAAAGAGTTGGAGGCCTTCCTTGAGGCCAAACGCAAGTTAGGCCGCGGTCGAGGGAGCGATGCCCCTCCTCCTAAAGCCGGTGAAGACGAAGCCCTTCCTCCTGCAGGTCGCGGTGGCCGTCGCATCCCCAAGAATGGTGCGCAGGGATCTGCCGACAGATCAGGCCCCTCCGGGGGTCAGGGGCAATGAGGCTCTTACTTTCCGTTGCCTGGCTCTTCGCCGGGCTTCTGGCCATGCCCCTGCAAGAGGCTGGCCCTGTGTTTCAAGCAAGCTCTTTTTGGAATTCGCTGTCGGAGCTTCTCCTTACAGACCGAGGGCTTTCGGCTNNCTGGCTGCGCCCGCCCTTCCTTTGTGAACCGGGCTTTCTTTCGTTCTTCGCTGGCAGAGGCTAGGTCCAGGTGTGCTGAGGTTGCCCAAGCTAATGCCGAGGCCCTTCATGTTACGGCCACCGTGTTGGACAGTCTTCTTGCTTTGCCTTTCAACCGTGTCGTTCGAGGCGCCGTCGCCTCTCCTTTTGCAGGTGCCCCTTCACAGGCCAAGGCCGAGGTCTTCGCACGTTGCTGGAACAGACTAGGCCGCCGCCTTAACGAATGGAACGCCTCTGGCCCTGTCACTCGGGAGGACCTGGGCCGTTCTGCTGGTAAAGTTGAGAAGATTGAGGAGCAGATTAGAGTTCTTCAGCACGACAAAACTGGGCAGGCCTTCGCTATGCCAAGCCTTGCCCTTGCGCAGGATGTGGTAGCTTCCAGGATCGCTTTCACAGGGGTCCCTGAGTTTGACCCATGTCCTTATTTGGACGACGAGCTTCGGAACCTGTACCTTCGGCCAAAAGACTTCGCCTGTGGCTACGCCGATCTCCCCTTTGACCCCTCTAAGGTACGGTTTAGGGCCCAGGGTTATAAAGGGAAGTTAGATCTGCTCGCGCTGCTTGATGAGGGTGATCGCTTGTGTTTGCGCCCGGCCTCTCAAGCTGCTGCAGAGTGGTGCTGTGGGGTGTTCTCAGTGCCGAAAAGCTCCGAGCGGGACAGGTTGATAATTGATGCCAGGCCCAGCAATGCCCTCCAGACCTGCGACAACCGATGGTTGATCATGATGCCCACCGCTGCAAGCCTGCTGGGTTTCGAGCTTGAAGGTTGCGAAGTTTGCACTTTCTCAGGAGCCGACGTACGGGAGTTCTACCATAACTTCCTGGTGTCGGATCAGCGATCGTCCTTGTACACGTTCGTTGGCAGTTTCTCGCCCGCTGACCTTGCGTGCCTAAAGAGCTTCACCCCAGACCTCTTTCAGCACTCTCACGTCTGTGCCTCTCTTCGGACCATGGCAATGGGCGATGTGAACAGCGTGTCCTTCGGGCAAGCTAGCCATATAGGGCTCCTGCTTGCATATCAGGTCATTGACCCGCGCTGCCTCCTCACACTCAGGGGCGGCGTTCCGCGCGGGGATTTAGCCCTAGGGGTTGTTATAGACGACCTCGTGTGCATTGAGCGGTCGCTGCGGGACATCGGCCCTACCAAGGCTGCCCCAGTGATGGAACGAGTGCATCAGGCTTACAGGTCCGCCCCTCTCCCGGTCCACCAGGGCAAGTGCTTTGAAGACCAGCATTGCGCAAGCTTCTGGGGATCTGAGGTAGACGGGCTTGCAGGCTGGGTGCGGCCGTCTTGGGCTCGCCTAGTGCCTTTGGTCAGCCTCACCATTGCTTGTCTCAAACTCCCAGTGCTCAGCGTTAGCCTTTTGGAGGTTTTAGCCGGGTCGTGGGTTTCAGTCGTTTCCTACCGCAGGCGCTTGCTCAGCTTGTTGAACCATATCTACGTGATCCAGCGGGGGAAAAGCAGAGACGCTATAGTCCCTTCCACGCCCGGCCTTCGCGCTGAACTGTTCGTGCTGTGCGCCCTCGCCCCCTTCATCGTGTGTGACATGCGTGCTTCTTCGTCGGGGTGCCTTGTCTGCACTGACGCTTCGGACATGGTTGGTGCCGGTGCCTGTGTTAACATCGAGAAGGTGTGGGCAAAGGAGCTTCATCGGCACGCCTTGAGCAAGGGCCTTTGGAACCGGCTCCTACGTCCTAGCGAGTGTTTGCTCCGCCGCTCTGGCGACTTAGATCAAGAGGACGAGCTCCCTGGTGAGAGCTACCGTACCCATGCCTTGTGGAGTTCCCTTTGCAGGTTTCTTCAGTTCAAGGTTTTAGGCTCTTTCAAGCGACGGGGCAGTACGCACATAAATGTGAAAGAAGCCGAGTCCTATCTGGCAGTCGAAGAGCACCTCGCTGCAGGCGTCTGGGAGAGCGCCAGGACCCTGGGTCTCCTAGATTCTCAGGTTGTGCTGGGGGCCTTGATCAAAGGCCGATCGAGCTCGCCCTCGCTGAATGTGCTTCTTCAGGGATCTGTTCCTGCATACGTCTTTTTCAACGTGCACCCTTCTTACAGCTTTGTTGCTTCCGAAGACAACCCTTCTGACGATCCGAGTCGACTCAGGCCGATCCGTTCTCCCTCTGCCCCGGTACCTGCTTGGTTCACCGCCGGCGCTGCAGGAGACTTCTCTGAGCTTGACCTTTTTCTTGAGTCCTTCGGACTCCTCCCTGACCAGCTCCAAGGCCTGCCCGAGTTGCTTGCGTCTTTCGCCGCCCGCTGTGGAGATCCTTTGCCTTCTAGTGCCATTCGTCGAGAGTACTCCGAGGGCCAATGTGATGATCGTTTGCAGAGGGAATCCGCTCCTGACGGCGCTGGAGAGGCTCAGAGCTTTTCGGTTCCTTGTGCCCGAGGCGTTGAAAATCGAACTCCAGTCCTTTTTCAGGCCTTCTTCAAGCAGTGTGGTGCTTCGCAGTTTCTTTGGCCAGGGGGTCGCCGGCCCAACGCCTCTTCGCGCCCTGAGTGCGCTGTGTACCTCGGCCTCTTTGCGAGCAAATGCCTTGTCGCGCGTTCCTTTGTGCAACTTGCAGGAAAGCCAGCCGTCACTTTTGACTGGCAGCACGGTGGTGCCCAGGACCTTTGCAAACCTGAGGTGCAGCAGCGGCTCCTTGCGGCAGCCCCTTTAGGAGCCTTTTGCTGTGTTGGCATGAGTCCCCCTGGGAGCACTTTTTCCTTGGCCGCGCAACCTAGGTACCGGAGCCGGGAGCACCCCTGTGGAGTTCCTTCTCTTGGCCATCATAGTGCGGCAAAGGTAGCTGTTGAAAACCGTGCCCTGGAGTTTACTTGCAGCTTCGCTGCGTTGCTCTGCGAGCTTCGCATCCCGTTCTGGATTTCCGGACCGGCCACCTCCCTCATGTGGGCCCATCCCTCCGTTGTTGAGCTCCTCGGTCGCCTCCCTACGCCCTGTTTTTGGACTTTCGACCGCTGCCGTTTCTCAGAGCCATGGCTAAAGCGCACCCGTGTCCTGGTTACCACTGACTTGGCAGGGGTCGAGCACCTTTGCACAGGTGGGCACGAGCATCAACGACTTCGAGGCAGGGTGTGTGCTGTTGGACCGGACTGGACTAAGAATGCTGCTGCTTGGCCTCGCGGAGCAGCCCTTGAGCTTGCTCGGAGTCTGGCTGCTGAGCTGGTGAGCGCCGCCGCCAGCGAGAGTGGAGTTGCTTTTGTTGGGCATCGGCGAGTTGGAGAAGCAAAAAATCCTGGACCCCCGAAGAGGGTCCCTCGACGTGGTTCTCTTTTCGACGTCGAGCTCATCGAGGCTTCCACTCTCAGGGTCAGAGCACAGATCTGGACAGTCTTCATAGCATGGCTGCGGGAGGGGCTATCTGAGGGTGCTGTTCTCGGCATCTTCAGGTGCCCCCCTTTGCTATCTCTTATGCTGCGGGACTATGGTGACGTGCTTTACAGAACTGGTTTTCCTCTGGGTTCTTACCGCCAACTCTTAGCTCACGCGCAAAAGTTGCTGCCACTGCTCAAACCGCACATGGCGGTAGCTTGGAACATGGTCACGAGGTGGCAGGAACTCCAGCCGGTCTGCCACAGGACCCCTCTTCCAGAAGCTTTACTGCGTGCCATGGTGGGGCTCGCTTTTTCGCACGGCTGGAAAGTGTGGGCCGCCACTACTCTGGTGATGTTTTACTTCATCTGCAGGCCAGGTGAAGTGCTTCGAGCTCTCAGGCGAGATCTTTTGACACCGGGAGACACACTGGAACCTCACCACAAGTGGCTTTACCTGCGGATCCGAGCTCCGAAGACGAAGCGACGTGGAGCCAAGATACAGCATGCTAAACTAGATGATCCGATCGCTCTCGAGATAGCTCTCTCGGTCTGGGAGCAGTTACCTCGGGGCCGAGCGTTGTATCCGGGCAGCCCGTCTGCGTATCGCCGCCGCTGGGACGTCCTGCTTAGAACTCTGGGTATTCCAGCTACAGCAGCGTTGACTCCAGCATCTGTGCGAGCCGGAGGCGCCATCTGCGCTTTCCAACGAGGCACTGCGGTGACGGACTTGATGTGGAGGATGAGATTAAAATCTCAGGTCACCTTGGAGCACTACCTTCAGGAAATGACTGGATTCTCTGTTCTCCCCTCTTTGCCGGCGGAAGCTCGTCGAAGGATCAAGGTGGCAAACTGTTTCTTTCGAGCTGTCGAGGAAAGGGCCATCTACTGCAAGGCGGCGCGCGTTGCGGCCTGTGATGGAGTGGAGGCTGCCGCTTAGCCTAAATCGGGCAAAGCAGGCTTCAAAACCTCCGACCTAGTACCTTGCAGCCATAGGCAAAAGGGAGCGAAGGAAGAGTGATGGCTGAGCATGTCTTTATGCATGCTTGCTGAACTCGTTTCGTCAGTTCTTCGGGTCCCTCCCTCCCGCCCTG